TGTGTGTGTGTGTGTGTGTGTGTGTGTGTGTGTGTGTGTGTGTGTGTAGCCCAGGCAGTCCTGGAACTTACTCTGGCTGGCTTCAAGCTCACACAGATCCTCCTGCCTCTGTCCCCACCCCCCAGCACTGGGATTTAAGGTGTGCACTACCACCACCCAGGCCAGTGATGCTCTCTTTTGAGCCTTGTGACCTCACTTTTGCCTGGGTTAGTGCCACTTGTTACCATTTTCAGCCATGCGGAATGTGCAATCAGATAAAAGCACAAATCAGAAACTGTGTGGACTCTCCGTGACTGTCACGGTCACCTTGGGGCTGCACCCACGGCGGAGGCCATTCCTGAAAGCGCATGGGGCTGAGAGAGACAGCCTACCTTGTCTTCTGTGTTACTGCCTCTGATCCAGCAAGCCGGCTTCCCACAGAACAGCAGTGAAGGGCCAAGAATAGGCATAGGGGCCATGTCGGAGAGGTTGGTCAATGAGTTTCTGAAAAAAGATAAAAAAACAAACAAACAACAACAAAAACTACTTATTTTCCTGGAGGCTAAGCAGTCACACCACTTGGAACCCGTGGACACAGAGATGCAATCAGCCTCGAGGGGTCTCTTCAAGTCTCTCTCCAGGGCCATTCCCTATGCATAGCTGTGGAGGGCTCTGGGGGGGTGGGGACAGTCAAGTGACACAGTAATGTCTGGGCAATCGCCAGTAGAGTCTGGTTGTGGGGAAGAAGACAAGAGCAGGCAGCCCGCCAAGATGCTGGGATGGGCTAGAGAAAGGGATGGCAGCTACGGGCCGGGCTGAGATCAAGCCTCCCTGATTTTTTATTTCAGAGAGGACATCCCACCCTCTGACACAAGTGGGTATAAAGGCAAGCATGTTCTCCAGCCTCTCCCCTCACCCCTCGCCCCCCAACCCCAACTCAGACTCACGGCAACACTGTGTCTTCAGAGGAGCCTTCCTGGTTCTTTTGAACTGGTGAATGCTGCTCTTCCACTGTGACAGATAAGAAAGGCTTCCCACGGCCCACCACCTCCAGACCATCGATATCCTAAGAGCAGTGGAAAGAGGGACTATGAGCTGACAGGCAGGTGCCACCTAAGGCCCCTCAGGACCGGGTATGAAGGCATTAGCAACCTGCTGGCTGAAATCCAGTTCTGCCATGATACTCTGTAGCTCCTTGCGTCGGTAGATCAGAAACAGACTCCTGTCCCAGCTGTAGCGGTACCACGGATCCTTCTGGGGTGCTATTCCTAGGGTGGAGTTGGGAGACCCTCAGCACAGGGTGCCATCATGCCTCGAGGGTCCGAAAACACAGATCCCAAAAGCACTCTGAGAAGGATTGGGGAATGGATGCAGTTTCTGAGGAGCAGCTCCACCTCAGTTCTCCGGTCTTACACCTACTTAGCAATGTTACACAGGAATCCCACAAAATCAGCTACCAGACAGCCAAATCTTTGGATTACAATAACAACAGCAACTACTTTCTCTTGAGTCTTAAGCAAGGAGCCAAAACCCGTTAATGCATATAATGTCTCCTTTAACCCTCTCATAACCCTTTTTGATATAAAATCAAGGACAATGGGAGCCAAATACCTTGTAGAAATTCAGAAAACCAGCACAGTGGGGCTGTGCTCTAAATGATGGCTACCCCATAAAGGTATAATATAAACCACAAATGCAAGCCCTGTGTGTCACTTCAAATTTTCTAGATGCATGTTGAAAAGGTAAAACAGCTCTAGGTGAGATTCAATTTAACATGGTTTATTTAACTCTTGGCATATTTACTCACTACAAAGACTATTATTCCAATATGCAATCGATATAAAAATGACGACTAGCAGGGTGTGGTGATGCACGCCTGTAATCCCAGCACTCTGGGAGGCAGCCACAGGCAGATCCATGTGAGTTCAAGGCCAGCCTGGTCTACAAAGTGAGTCTAGAACAGCCAAGGCTACACAGAGAAACCCTGTCTCAGAAAATTAATTAATTAATTAAAAATGACTATTAAAATAATTTTTTCCAAGCTGGTCTACACTGACAGCTCATTTCTCTACAGATTAAGTCACATTCCAGTCAACAGCTACATGGGGCTGGTGAAAGCTCCATGCCCAGGTTTCTAGGCTCTGCCCTCCGCCCCTTAGCACTTCTATCAGTTTCACTGAGGTGTAGGAGCTGGATCCCAGGTAGAGCTTGTGACTTGCTCAAAGCCAAGTGATCCAGGATTTGGGCCAGGATCACGCTGACCACCTGCCCTGCCTCCGACACCAGGCACAGGAAGCTGGTGGGCTTGGGCCCAGTTTCTCACCGGTCTCCACTTGGATGGAGTGGGGCCTCCTGATGTGTGTGATGGGCTCCACCAGGCCACGCTGAGTTCTTGTCTTGGTCATGAGAAGGCCTGTCATCTCATCCCCCAGGTATTCCAGTGGATTCCAGAAACAACTTGCCCCCTTAAAGCCCTGACAAGGAAAGACAGAGCAGCGAGGTCACCTCCGTACCCCAGAGACTGGGCAGGGGCATCCACTAGGACCCAATGGCAGAAGCGTGAGCTTCTTGTTCTCAAGAAGCCACAAAGATGGGGTGAGCTGGTCCCAGCCCCGGAACTCACTGATGTACCAAAACACAGCATGGTTCTTTGGCCTTCGTTAGACCAAAAATTGGAACACACACCTTTAAGAGACAAACATTAAGCCTCTTATGATCAACTGACCACCAGGGACCACCTCGGGCTGAATTATTAAAGTGAGCAGTCCCAGAACATAAAATAATACAATAAAGATCCCAGGGACTTAATAATGTTTGGTAGGCTGTTTTCTCCACGACTGTAACTGGAGACAAGCTGGCACTGCTCCCCATGTGCATTCTGTCTGTCTGTCTGTCTGTCTGGCCCTCCCTTTTTCCCTCGCTCCCTGTCTCCCTTTCCCCTGTCCTCCCCTTTTTTCTCCCTCCATTCCCCCTCCCTCTCCCTTCCACTCTCCCTTCTCTCTCCTCTCCCCTCGCTCCCTCTTTCCCTGTCTCCCTCCCCCTCTTTGTACTTGGGCATTCTCACTTTTCTGTCATGCTGGGTAGGAAGTACGCGGTCAATGAGCTCCCGCTCCTCCTGGATCTTTCTGTAGCTCTCCCCAGCATGCATCAACAGATCACTGGGTGGCTTCTTCAGGGTCTCTGCAGAGGGGGAAGGAAGACTGTGACCACTGCACCAACACAGAGCACACAGGTTCCGGCACTATGGGTTGGGTGGCCCACTCTTGGGCTCATTTCAGAACCCAGGGCCTGGGAGCCCGAAGCGCTTGACAGTGGACAGTGCTGGCACAAATGTCAGTGTGTGTGCATCGGCTGCAGATGGGTCGGGAAGACGACGCAGAAGAGCCTCTGTGCCAGATGGAGGCCTGGCAGGTCTCTGTAAGCTCAGCTCGGCTCACCGCTGAGGGCTTCCTGTTGCTTCTTCCACAAGGCAAGGTGCCTTCTCCAGTTCTTCAAAAAGTTGTGCTGAAGAGGTGGGGCCAATGGAGGCCTCTTCTCTTCTTTCAAGGCCTTTGACTTTGGCTCTTCTTTAGCCGAGATGAGGGTCATCACACAGGGCTGGGTGTGGATGAGCTTGGCCACCTGGAAAGCACAAAGCAGGGGAGGAAGGGTTGGCCCAGGCCCTGGTTTCTGTCCTGCTCTAAGACTCCAATCCCTCCTCTTCGAGACCACATGGTGGCAAGCAACAAGAAACAAGCCAGGGAGCCTGGGGGGAATGCTGACAGTCTCCTCTGCCCTGAAAGGTCAGCGTCTTTTAGGGTGGCTATCTTCTTCACAGTTGATAACTTCCTCCAGAGTGGCTGAGCTGGGCCCCTAGCACCCTGCCCAACAGAGATAAAGTGAAGGATTTGAGACAGAAGAACTATATGGCAGGAAGGTAAAATGGGGTACAATGGGGGACATCTTCCCCCAGAATGTGCTTCAGCCATTCAGTCTCCAAAGAAGGGGAGTGAGGAGCTGGGCTCAGAGCTCTGCTGTGTTGTGGGGTTCGGTCTACCCAGAGTTCCACAAGGCAGGCTCTGGGTTCCTAAATCCCCACTTCAGCTAAAGCTATCTTAAACTGGCAACTGGCTTCTGTGACTTGCAAGTGCTTTCCGAAGGGTCACTTCTCATCTAGGCCCAGAGGCTGACCTATGTCTAGAACCCCCCCCCCTGCACCCCATTCTCCCCCCCACACCCTTTGACTCTGCAGGGAGCAAATGGCTTCAGCAACTTCTCTCAGCCACCTAGCTCTCTACAGACAAACCTGGCTGTTCCCTCGAGCCACTGCAATTCTTTTAAAGTCCTGGAGACTCCCCAAGATCTGATGAGGCAGGATCTGGCCACTGCTTATGAAGCTGTCACTGGGACCTGAAGGCGGCAGGAAGAGGAGTGGAGAAACAGAAGCTTCGAACCACACACACGGAGCAATTGTTTGGTGGAGAGTGGGCTCTCTTTCAAGACCCACCCAAGAATGCAAAACCTACAGTGACAGAACCCCATACCAGAGTAGTCCAGGGGCTTTGTGGCGGCATCTGGGTTGGCAGGATGTGCTACCAACTGGTAGACCTTTCTTCTACTAGAATCCTTCCGCTTGAGCTTACGGATGATGAATTTCTGAGTAATGATAGGCTTTTCTCCCATTTCTGCAAACGTAGGGGCATGTTGCTAAAAGAGAAACAAAGCAGAGAGGAATGCTACCTGGGAAGAGGAGGAAGAACACACATACACGCACACACCCCTGTCCTTGGTAGAATCCCTGAGGGCTAACTACTCGCCCTCCCTAGCTCCATGCATACATCCTGGCCTGGAATTGCCTGTGTGACATACCTGGGATTGAGAAGGAACCTGACGGGGGAGGGGGGATGACACCCGGCAAGTCCAGGCGCATTAAGTAAGAGCGACTGACAGATAAGGGTTGGAGCTCAGAGGCTTGTGTTCAGGTCTATCCACGATGCTTGACCTTACTTGCCAGCTGTGGATGGCTCTACTAGAATGTCAGAAATGTGGACACCTAACTTTCCGTAAGTTCCTTCAGATGCTAAAAGTGAAAGAATTTGTATCTGGTGGACTGTGGGGTAGGGGGCACATGGTATCAGGAAGCCGATTGGAGAGATGGACCGTGAGTACAGCCGGCTGCTCTAGGGATCCTTGGCCTTCAGCCTTACCTTCTTCAAGTCTTCCTGCTTAATGGCCAAGGCAAGAATGTCATCTCCTTGTAAGACATTGCTGACAGGCTCAGGCTCTTCCTGAATAGGGGGAGTGGGCTGTTCAGGTACCTTTGTCCGCTTTTTTTCTGGAGAGAAGCAGAGAGATATGTTCCAAGGGGTCTCTGCAAATCTTAATACATAAGTAAGATGATCAATTGAGAACTCAGGATGCAGCTCAGAATGCTTCCCTAGCAAGCATGAACTGGCTGGTGAAGCCTTTGGGTTCAATTCCTAATACAGTGGATGACAAAAGCTAGGAAAGGTGACTCAGGCTTGTATGCCCAGCTCTTGTAAGCAGAGACAGGAAGATCAAAAGTTATAAAGCCAGCCCTGGCTATATAGTAAGACCTTGATTCAAGTAAATAAATTCTATATTAAACTGCGTGCTAGGGGGGTCAAGACAGCCACCTGGACAGGACAGGACAGCAGAGGCTGTCCCGGTACTCCAAAGTGATGTGAGTTCTCTCCTACCAACTCTCCCTGGGTTGCCGTGGTGACTGAATGTCTATAGTCAAAGCCATGGCATTCTCAAGTGGGACGACCTTGCATACATTGCTCTATGTTTCTGGACCTGCCCTCTATGCACGAAAAGAAGAAACCGGACTAAAAGAATCACCACTTTAAACTAGTATTTTGGTATTATGATTACAATCTTCTGGGCATAGTCTTTCAAATACAGTATCCTGATCACTGTGTTGAACTGGGAATTTTATAAAAAAAAAAAAAAAAGCAAAGCAAAGCAAAACAAAACAAAAACCCAAGACCTGAGAGTCTGGGCCAATGGATTAGGGCAGCTAGACCAGATGTTTCCTTATCCGCCTGGGTGAAGGCATCAGATTTCTTTCATCTAAATTTTTACCTTTTTTTTTTTTGGGGGGGGGTTACTTGAGACAAGGTCTCCCGTGTAGCCCTGCCTGGCCTGGAACCCCCTCTTCAGATGCAGACTACAGCGGCCTTGAAACTCACAGAGATGCACCTGCCTCTCTGTGCTAGACTTAAAGTTGTGCACCACCGTACCCGGCCCCTCTTTATTTTATTCAGTTTAATTTATGTATGTGCTCGTTCATTTATTTATGGGCGTTTCAAAACAGAATTTCTCTGTGTAGCCCTGGCTGCCTTGGAACTCGATCTGTAGACCTGGCTGGACAGCAACTTCAGAGATCAGCCTGCCTCTGCCTCCCAAGTGCTGGATTTAAAGTTGTGCACCACCACCGCCCAGATAATTTTTCTTTCTCTGATTAAGGTTTTTATGTAGCGCAGGCTGGCCTTAAATTCTCTGTGTAACCCAGGATACCCCTTGGTGATCCTCCTAACCCCATCGATCAAGTGTTGAGGTTACACTGTGGCCCCGCCACACCCAGTGGCTTGGCATCGGGCTTCTTTTGGTCCTTTCGAGACAAGGTCTCACGATGTCGTCCTGGCTGGCCTAACACTCGCTGTATAGACCAGGATGGCCTTGAACTCACAGAAATCCCCCAGCCTCTGCCACCAGTTTTAAGCAGTCTGAAGACCTGATTGATTTTGGGGCAGTTGTTGTTATTGCAGAGGATCTAGGCTTCAAGTCCTAACACCTGCATGTCAGCTGAAAGCCATCTGTGACACCAATCCCGGGGAACCTGTTGCCCTCTTCTGACCTCTGCGTGCGTGCACACCAGGCACACAGTGTGGCACACATATATAAGTTAAGCAAAACACTCAGATACATAAGTCTTTTATTAAAAAGACTGGAAACCCAGCACTTGGGAGGCAGAGGCAGTAGACTTTCAGGCCAGCCTGGTCTATACAGTGAAACCAGGCCAACCAGCGCTACATGGTGAGGTCCTGGGAATACAAAGCAGTTTCAGCTGGGGGTGAGAGCAGCCACAGGAGACCAAAAAGTCAAGCAGACTGTGCTTGGGCCAATAGTCAGGCGCTAAGCGGTGACTGTGGGAGCCTCCTTAAAGAGGTGATATTCCTACTGAGAGTGGAGGAGGAAGAGAAGCCCCACAACTGAAACTTTCCAGAGAGAAAATCGGGAAGAGGCCTAGAGGCCAGCAGAGAGGAGGGAGAACCCTGGAACTCAAAGCATGCACTGTGAAATCACTGGAGTGGAGTGAGGCTAGGGCTGAGGGTGGGGTGGGAGGAAGCAGAAAGGCAGGAGGAAGTAGGAGTCATGTCACTGGCAGCCTATCCTGAAGGCATTGTCAGGGCTGGGGGAGGGGAGGCAGCCTAGGGGACCAAGATTGAGGACAAGGTTATTTAAGGGTCCTGGTGCAGCTGAAGATGCCAGAAGTGACCCATGTCACTGCTGAAAAATGCAGAGATAAGACTTTATGCCACCTCAGTGGCAGCCATGGGCCCTCTGACGGGGACGCATTCTGTCTGCCTCCAGAGAGGTGTATAACTCTTTCAGATGTATCCCTCCTCGCTTCTCTGGTTGGTAATTTCATCTCTTCCTCCTCGGGTGGAGAAGGGTTTGATGTAAACACCTATACAAAGCAATCAAAGGAGAACCTAAACTCAGCCACCAGCGTGTTCAGAACAGCATGTTGGTTTTCTCCAGTGCTCCCAAAGTACTCTCATCTTTAGGAGAACACATCACTCAACATCAAGGCAGGGGCTTCGGTTTACACAAACTGTTTTGTTTTGCTTTGTTTTGTTTTTAAAATGGAAATGTCCACTTTGGAGGTGGTTTAAAAAAAAAAAAAAAAGGAAGAAAGAAAGAAAAGGTATCATTCCAAACATAACTCTACTCCACAGGAGAAGCAGCCCAGGGCCATCTCTGCACAAAGTGCGAGCACACAGACACACGCAGAGCTGAGCAGTCTGACCTCATTTCCACCTGATCTTCCGCCACACCTGGAGATGCAGCCTTGGGTTTTGATTTAGCTTTTTTTTCTTCCTATTGAAGCTCAGGCTGGCCTGGAATTTGCCCATCCTTCTGCCTCAGCCTCCATCTAGATTGGCTTGGGTTCTGGTTTTTCCTTCTCTCCCCTTCTATACAAACACCGCAAGCAGGTGGCAGCCCAGAAAAAGATCTGATTTCAGAAATGTTTCCATGCTGGGTCGTGGTGGCATAGACCTTCAATCCCAACTCAGAAGGCAGGGGCAGACAGATCTCTGTGAGTTTGAGGCCAGCCTAGTCTACAGACTGAGTTCCAGGATAGCCAGGGCTACACAGAGAAACTCTGTTTTGAAAAATAAAGGAGGAAGGAAGGAAGAAAGCAAAAGAAGTATTTCCACATTATGTGCTTTCCAGGACATTTGTTTCTTTTGCCCATCACCTTGGTTGGTCTGCATCTTCCCTAGGGGCTAAACAGATCCAGACGTGCTTTTCACCGATGGGTATAGAATTACTGGAAGATAGATGTAAACACAAACATTCAGCACGGCTGAAGATTCCTGGAGCCAAAGCTCCCACCATGCCCAGCAAGCAGCCTTTGACAGCTCTGGCCTGAGGTCTGAACTACCTTGAGTGCATCACAATAAATGCACAGCTCGGGCATGGCATGTGTTCTGGTTAACTAAATATTCATTAAACTGACAAGTGCATTTTAAAGTGAAGTCCATCCTAGAGACTATCTGCCAACTACATTCTTTTGCTCTTTTGTTTTCTTTTGAGACAGGGTCTCCTTCCAGTCCAGGCTGTCTTGGAACTCACTATCTAGCCCGGGCTTGCCTCATACTCACGGCAATTCTCCTGCCTTAGCTTTCTCAGTGCTGGTTTTACAGGTGCGAGCTACTATGCCCGGCTTATACCTTCTACACGCTGTAAAGGACAGAGGAGATAGGTTTCAATACAGTTTCTCTCAAAGGAAACATAAGCACACAGTGATAACATGAATGCTGGCATGAAAAAAAAAAAAAACAAAACAAAACACTCCAATAGGTCCGATTAGGCATTCAAAGAACCACCACGCCAGTCACAGAGTTGAAGACCCTAAAGAACGTTTGAGGAAGAGCTGCATCGACAGCTTTCCGGTGTTGCAGAGGTGGAGCTGCAGATGGTGGTGTTACAGGTAAGGCTGCAGCGGGTGCAAGGCTGACTGTTGGCAGGTGTGTGGCATGGTGAGCTGGAAAGCTTGCTGGGGAGGCAGGGCTGCTGATCAGGGTGAGGGGAAAAGAGAACATGGTGGCTTTGAGACCTTATCCCAGAACAAAACTACAACAACAACAAAATGGTGCTTGGTGAATTATCTCTGGCAGGAACTTAACGATTATATATATATATATATATATATATATATATATATATATATATTCTCTGTAATGGATATTAAATGAAGTCTAGAGACGCATCTGACCCCTAGTCCAAGAGAGTGGAACACTGACAATTTCAGAATGACCCATCCGCTGATGAAAATAGACAGACTTGAAGCTGACCAAGCCGGAAGGACCGGTACTCAGGCTGGGGGCATTTCAGGGTGTCCTGGAGGGCCCCACAAGATAGAGTAGCAGTTCAGTAGCTGTCACTTACTGAACCTGAGACCCACATGCTTTGTTCTGGACGTCCAAGGTGAATGGGGCTGTTGGTGAGCTGACATTTCTCTGTCCTGGCAGTTGAGGGGGTCAGACACGAGTCCCTTTGAATGGGATGGTAGAGCTTAGCTCAGCTGAAGCTCAGGCAAGAGTAGTTGCTAAGGAGGTTGGGAAGAGCTGGAGCCACAGGAAGAGGTAGAAGATAGGACCTACTCTTTCCCACTTCCTACACAAGTCATTCTACCTCAGTGTTGCTGAAAGTCTTTGGGAAACTGACTTCAGGGTTGAGCTGGGGGAAATCAAGGCAGGAACTGCCATTGGAGTAGAAGGGGCATCTGGTGCTCCCTGTGGCTTAATAACAAGAACCAAGAGATCCCCAGGAATCGGTAGGGAGTTCGGGTCTCTAAACAGGCTCCCAGTCACGTTTGCTTGTTTTTCTAAAGCTCCCGAGTCACAGACTCAGAGACACACAGCACAAGAGGACAAGATCACACTGTGGACACGTGACACCGGGGAGATGGGTGCACTGCCCTAGGAACCTCTAAGAGAGTCCAAGAGACGCTTTTCCGCCCTACTCTGGGGCATGTTCTCAACTCAAAGACCATTTAACAAGCTGAATCCTCCCCTTATTAAAAACAAATACGCAGTGAAAAAAAAAAAATCCTTCCTTGATCTGTTTACAGCAGAAAGTTCAAATCTGATTAAGATCGCCCTGAAAGTAGGTGAGCACGAGGCAGTGGCTAGGAGAGCCCTTGGCTGCCCTTGGGAAAGGGAACTGATTATTTTCTCTCTCTCTCTCTCTCTCTCTCTCTCTCTTTCCTTCTCTCTTAACTATTAAAAGTATGTCACGAAACAGCACCAGCTTTTTATACTATGAAGAAACATGAAAGAAAGCCAAAAAAAAAAAAAAAAAAAAAAAAAAAAAAAAACCCCACCAAAAACCCCACCCCGGTCCTGTTAGTTCTGTGGGCCTCCCAGGGGAGTCTACTGACTCCTGGCCTACCCCTCTCTTCACAGTGTGCTGCGCCAGGCCTAGGGGGCTGGGTGCTCTCAGAGCCTGCGAGGTCACACACCAAGACTTTCGGATTTCACCGGAGAAGCCCTTTCCATGGTCCGTCCCCTGCCCACCCACACGGACGTCTCTGTCATTGATTCGTGAATGCACACTGCTCTCCAAACGCAGAGAAGCAAACCCTTCCTTTTTATTTGTCTTTTTCTTCAATCCGTGCCACATATGTCATCTACTTCAAAAAGCCCTTCTCCCTAAGCCAACCACCCGAGGCCTAATTCAGAAGTGCTGAGCGCCTACAACTGGCACAGGCACCCATATTTTCGTTTATAAGTATTTTTCCTCCGGGGTCTTCACTTGATTGTTTTCTGGAGGATTGGAGTCACAATCTTGATACTTAATGTGTCCACACATGACAAACCTCCACAAATGAAAACAGGGCAAGGGATAGCTCAGGACCAGAATGCTTGCTTAGCGTCCACAGGCCCCTCTGGGTTCCATCCCCAGCAGGAAATTTCTGAAAAGGGAGTGGTTTGCAAATGGAAGTGTTCAGGGCAGTAGTCCCTCTTAAGCCGGATCTCTGTCATGAGGCTAGAAAGGCCAAGTGGTAGGAAATAAACGGCACTCTGAAACCAATAGAGTTAGGGGTTTTGTTATTTTTACTTGGGGATTTCCCCCAGCATGAGCCTTAGGTGACCCCTGCCTCAGTTCCCGAGAACCTCATCAGGCGCTCCTGGTTCTTGGGCATCTCATCGGGGGAGCCTGTCCCCTCTACCACCCTAAGATAGGTTTTGAGTTGGAGTTCGGAGTTCTGTTCCTCCTCCTGTCCAAGGCCTGACCCTGCCAGTGACCCCTGAAGTCCCCTGTCAACTCCCTCACTTGCCATATTACCACCAGCAAAGTCCAGGGCGTTGTGCTCCTGAGATTTTTTTGCTGTTTCCTGTACTCTATCGTCCATGCGACCCTCCCTCACATCTGCAGTGTTCTAACCCCAGACCAAATCCTGAACACCCAAGGCCTCCAGCGCCAACCTTTGACGCTCTCGGCGGCCTCCAGGAACCTGTTGGCTGGTATTCTGACACGGGATTCCTTCTTGAGGGCTTTCATGGTGCCGCCCCGGGTTACCAGAGTGGTCCTGCTCTCCGGGGGCCCACAAGATGACTGCGCAGGCGGCACCCCCGCGACTCCGCCCGCCAGCGGCCGCCGCAGCGTCCGTAGCAACCAACGGCCCGCGCGGGGGCGCGCACCCACCGAGCAACTTGGGCGGGGACTGTTTATCGTTAATCTTCTTCATCAGGGCGCAGCCCCCCTTGCAGCAAGCACCTCCTCACGACAGCTCGCAAATACCGAGAATGCCCCGGTCCGTCTCTTGACGTCATAGGAGGCGCTAGAGAGCTCCAAGGCGTCATCAGCTGGGATGAGAAGGACAGAGGGTAGCTGAGGGAGCTGGTCCAGGCTGAGTTGCTGGAATGGGGACAGTAGTAATTCGGCTGCTCTCTGGGATTCCTACCCAGACTCCCCAGATGTTCCTGCCTTGGGCCGCTAGCTGACCAGCCTTCAGGCTTCCCTGCACCCCCAGCTCACCCTTGCCTGACCAGGCCTTGACCTGGCTTATGTGCCCCAGACTCCGCCCCGACGCGCTTGACGTTAGCCCCGCCCATGCAACCTCCATCCTTTTCCCATACTCTGCACACAGATGTTGCGTTTGGTTCCCCAGTGAAAATATTCCTTTTATCTCAATTTTCTAACTGTATCTGCTTGATTCCTCCCGGTCCACCGAGCTCTAAAGCGTTCTGGAATTAATCTCTTTCTGAGACTGGGCCCCTCTCCAGGGCCAGGACTTTACTAGAAATTCCTCTAGACCTCGCTCCCTATGGTGGACACATGATCCTGGAGCCCTCCTGCTCCGATACAAGCACCCCCCCGCAGCTTCTCCAGTTCAGTTTATTCCAGGGACACTTAGGACACACCAGGGAAATGCTCTGTCACCTGGGCCCTCCAGGGAGCAGGCGCTGGGATACAGATAAGAGTGGAAGGTTTCTGGCAGTGAGGCCCCGGGGCTTAGGTAATGTGCGTTGGTGAGATGTGCATCTTCGGCAGGAAATGGGGAAGCCACGATTGAAAGGCCTAGCAATGGAGAAGGAAAGAGCTTCTAGCAGCAAAAACGGCAGGCTCACCAGTGACCTGTATGACAAGCTCCCTAAGGAAGTCTCGTGGTTTTACTTTTTCTTTTTCCTTTTTTTTTTTCTTTCTAGAGACATGATTTCTTTTAACCCATGTTATCCTCAAAGTTACTGCTATAGCCAGGGCTAGGCTTGATCCGGATCCTTCTATCTCCAACTCCCAAACACTGAGCCTACGGATGTACTGCATCTCTAAGCTTGGGTAAAAGATGGCTTTGTTTTCCAACACTGGATATTGAACTCAGGCCTTAGTTCACATTAGGCAAGTGAGCTATTCCCCAGCCCATATGGTTTTTCAAGGGATGGTATGTTGGTGCCAGGCAAGCAGTCATTTTAATTGTGCAGTGTATAATTTTTTTTTAAATAGCCCTTCTTGTAAAAAAAAAATATTTATTTTTATTTTATATGCATTGGTGTTTTGCCTGCATGTATGTCTGGCTGAGGGTGTCAGATCTTGAAGTTACAAACTGTGGTGAGCTGCCATGTGGCTGCTGGGAATTGAACCCGGGTGCTCTTGGAAGAGGAGTCAGTGCTCTTAAAGCGCTAAGCCACCTCTCTATCCCAAAATAGCCCTTCTTGAATGTAGTGGGCTCTACATCTTATCTCATGCTGATGCTGGTGAGAGCTGTATGAGGGAAGATTTGTGCATTCCTAACTATCCTGTAGACCAGGCTGGCCTTAAACTCACAGAGATCTTTCTGCCTCCACCTCCCCCAGTGCTGAGATCACAGGCATGTGCCACCAACACCCGGCTTTCCTAACTATTTTTATTGTGCAGTTAATCTGTAAGAAACAGATCAGACAAGAACCAACAGAAATTTCTGAGAAAGGGTCTCGGTGTTGGGGGATTTTCCTTGCCAATGAAAGATGAAGGGGGATATCAAACACCACATTGTACTCTCTAGGCATATGTAATTATTACTTTCCAATTAAAAATAAAACTTTAGCAGGACTGATGCCGCGTGTCTGGAATAACACTGGCGAGAGGGAGGCAAGAGAATATGAAGTCTGAGGCCACCATAGGCTCTATAGTGAGTTTCAGGGCAGCTTAGGCAAAAACTGTGTGATCCTGTCTCAAAAAGGATAAAATATAGCTGGTTGTGGGGGCGCACACCTTTAATCCCGGCACTCAGAGATGCAGAGGCAGGTGGATCTCTGTGAGTTCGAGGGCAGCCTGGTCTACAAAGTGAGTCCAGAACAGCCAAGGCTACACACACACACACACACACACACACACACACACACACAAAGAGGATAAAATATAACTTAAAAATATAAATGTGCCAGCTAAGAAAGCTTCAGACTGTTGCAGATCTAACAGTCTAGGCCAACCCAACATGTCCTCTGGATAAGGAAATGTCCCTCAGAGGCAGCCAGCTAAGTACCCTATCAGGTGCAATAGCAGGCCCTTTCCTAAAGGGAGACATGAATGTTCACTCCCCAGGGTTACTTCAGGAGCTCTATGCAATATGAGGGAAAGTAAGAAATGCCTCTTCTTGCCCTCTAGATGTTTGGGAGTACACAGAGAGAAAGACAAACATTCTTGTAACTCCAATCCTTACCCAGCTTCCGGAAGGCCTTTTAAGTTGCGGAGTCACAGAGCTTGTCTGTAGCCTGGCTGGGACATTTCAGAGGGATCAAAGGACAAGCAAAGGCAGGTAGGCAACCTTGCTGAGCAATTCCACCAGCCTGACTGGCCTTTCACTGTCTCCCTCCCTCTCATGAAAATGTCGGACCAGACCTGGGTTTCTTAACTCTTTGAGAATCTGAGCAAAGTTAAAAATCTCCTCCTCTGGGCTGGAAAGGTGGCTCAGATGTTAAGAGCACTGATTGCTCATGAGTTCAATTCCCAGCAACACATGGTGGCTCACAACCATCTATAATGTAATCTAATGCCCTCTTCTGGCCTGCAGTGCATACATAATAGATCTTTAAAAAAAATAATAAATAAATAAAAATCTCCTTGGAAATGTGCATTCGATTTTTTTTTTTTAATATGACGGAACAAGACTGGCAACACAATTTGCCATTTTAACCTTCACGGTTTGGTCGAATTTAGTGCAGTCACTGCGTTGTGTAACCACGACATTTAAAACATTCTAAACATTCTAAAATATTCTCACTCTCCAGAGGAAAACACATTAAGCTCCTGCCCACCACCCATTTTCCTCTTTTCCAGACCCTAATGATCTGACTGGCTTATCCTGAATAGTGTGTGTAAATAAAACTACATGCTCTTTGCTGTTTGTTTGTTAAGATTTTATTTCTTTTATTTTATATATATGAGTGCTCTGCCTGCATGTACACTTGCACGCCAGAAGAGGGTATCAGACCCCAGTATAGATGGTTGTGAGCCACCATGGGGTTGCTGGGAATTGAACTCAGGACCTCTGGAAAGGCAGTGTTCTTAACCACTGAGCCATTTCTCCAGCCCCTGCTGTTGTTTTGATTAACATATAGTTCCTTCCTTTTCATGCCTGAACAATGTTCCATTGGATACCACATTTTGATTATCCATTCATCTGCACTTTTTAAAAATTAAACAGTTTTTATGTTATTTGGTTTATTCTGAACTTACTTTGTGAATTATCTTTTCTTATTTTTTTATTCTTCTCTCATACCATACATCCCAACTATAGCTTCCCTTCCTTCCATTCCTCTAAGTGCACTCCCACTCCATCTACTCCCCTGCTCCCTTACCCCCCCCCCCACCACAAAAAAAAAAAAAAAAAAAAAAGATCAGGCCTCCCAGGGATATCACCAAAACATGGTGCAACAAGATACAATAATACCAGGCCCAAACCCCCACATCAATTCTCGGTGAGACAACCCAGCAGGAAGAAAAGGGTTCTAAGAGCAAGCAAAGGAGTCAGAGACACTCCTTGTATCAAGAGTCCCCCCAACCCTGCAAACACCACACTAACAAACTTAACACGTATGCATAGGACCTAGCACAGATCCACCCAGGCTCTGTGATTGATGCTTCAGTCTCTGTGAGGCCCCACGAGCCCCCTGCTTAGTTGAATCTGAAGGCCATGCCCTTCTGGTGTCCTCGATCCTCTGAGTCCCACAATTCCTCCTTCCCTTCTTCCATGGTGTGTGGGGGGGGAGGGGAAGGTCCCCTGAGCTTCAAGGGGAAAGGCCTGATGGAAGAGACCCAGTGGAGACTTCCAACCTAGGTCCTCTCTCTCCACTGAATGTTTTGGTCTCTGCAACTGCTCCCATCAGCTGCCAGAGCAAGCCTCTCTGAACACAGGAAACCTTTCACTGATTTTTTTTTTTCTATCTGTTCATAGTTACATTTATTTTTAAGCTTCGGGTTGTTTTGGTTTTTCAAAACAGGGTTTCACTGTGTAGCTCTGGCTGTGTTGGAACTCACTCTGTAGACCAGGCTGGCCTTGAACTCACAAAGATCCACTTGCCTCTGCCTCCTGAATGCTGGGATTAAAGTTGTGCACCAACCGGCTTTTTTTTTCTTCTTCTTCTTCTTCTTCTTCTTCTTCTTCTTCTTCTTCTTCTTCATTTATTTGCTTATACATTTTTTTCAAGACAGGGTTTCTCTATATAGTCCTGGCTGTTCTGGAACTCATTCTGTAGGCCAGGCTGGCCTCAAACTCAGGAATCCCACTGCCTCTGCCTCCTGTATGCTTTAATCCTAGGCGTGTGCCGCCGCCACCCAGTTCATTTGTTCCTTGCATGTACGTGTGTGGGCATGTGTACCACAGAGCATGTGTGGAGATCAGAGCGTAACTTGCAGGAGTCAGTTCTCTGCTTCTACCCTGTGGGATCCAGGGATCACACTCAGGTCATCAGGCTTTGTGGTAATTGCCTTTTCCCCTCTGAGCCCTCTCACAGGCCCTACATTTAATTTTGCACACACCACAGGGATTCCCTGAAGCTCCTTCATGAACGATTGGGTGGGGGTGGGACAAGGTCAGTGTGCCTTGGAGCTAGAA